TATCTACTTTTTTTTTTCCCCCCCCCCCCCTGTTCTCCCTTTCCGTTAAATTATTTCATATTTGTTTTTCTCAGTTGCATCCGTTTTCTTTTTTCGTTCCATAAAATCATGCTTTATTCTTATCTCCTCAGTTGTCATTATTTTTGTGAAGATGTGATTCAAGACTAATTTCAAAAACTTGTTTTGAAGACCTTAGATTGTTTCAGAAGATATAGTCTTTTTATAATTTTTTTAGATAGACGATATTGTTTCGATGCTTACCGCTAACAAATTGCACGTTTCGCCAACAGGAGCTATTTTTTGTCAAAGAACTGTTCGAAGAGGTTGTTGCTTTTTCTCCATTTAAAGCCCAAAATTTTGATTTGATTTTCGGATTTGATTTCTCAGTTTTACATTAACGTTCTTTTTTTTGTAATAATTTATTAGTAATTTAAGGTTTAATGCCAGTGATGCTTGAAGAAATTTTGAATACGAGAGTGATGGTGAAAAAGGCTGCAAAGGAGTGCAAAAAAGATCGAGTACGTTATATTTACCATTTTTTTCTTTGCCGACTGTTCGGTAAAAGTTTGTTTTAGTAAGAGTGTGCTTTTTATATGTGTGTTTCTTGTCTTTCTTCTTTTTTTGATATTTTTTTTTGATAAGAGTAAAGATTATTAAAGATTTAAGAAAAAAAATTATTAAAACTGGAGAGTAGTTAAAATTATCGAAGGTGAGAAGCATGTAAAAACATAGTCAAAACTATTATTATCTTTGAGTGCGAAGAAAATTATTGGATTTTAACTTATGCATGGCACAAATAACCGTTGACTTTTCAAAGTATGTTTGTGTTTGCTGAAGATAACTTGCAATCATCAGAGATGTCTGATGAGAGTGATACGAAGTTACAACGCTAAAACAATATTTTTATATCATAATATAATTTCCAATGAAAAATTCCCCAACAGAAACTCCTGTTAGAAAACATGGAGTCAAATCAAAACAGCCGGTAATTAGATGTTTAATATGGAGCGGAGAATAACTTTTTAAAAAAAAGATTTCCATCAAAATTTCTCAAATTTCCTCAATAGCATATTTCCTTTCAAATTTGTATAAATAATTTCTTTATAGCGACTGGCTCGTATATTGGAGGCACGACAAATGGCGTTGAAATTGATTGCAAATGTAACATATGGTTACGCAGCAGCAAATTTCAGTGGCCGCATGCCATGTGTTGAGGTAGCTGACGCCATTGTAGGCAAGGTTAGATTTAAATCTCATCCCGAAACAATACAAAGAGTGTAGAAAAATATCAGTATTCAGAAATATTCCAGGTTTTTAACCATTTATAGTATTTCAGGGGCGAGAAACCCTAGAACGAGCTATGAGATTGGTCAACGAAGGATCTTATGGAAGTTCACGAGTAATCTATGGTGATACTGATAGCATGTTTGTAGTTTGCCCAGGTTTCTTTCTATTATTTTTTAAGAATTCATAATTATCATACTGGTGTCCAGTTAACTGAGAATATAACTAAGTTCAGTAATCAGTAATGATTATAAGAACAGTGTGGGAAGACGTACTTCCCGAATGTGCCGAAGGACTTTAATGTCTATAAGAGAAAGTTTGTTTTTTTAGGAGCAACTCGAATTGAAGCCTTTGATATTGGGAAAAAGATTGCTGATGATGTGACAAAAGCAAATCCGAATCCAATAAAGCTAAAATTAGAAAAAATTATGCATCCACTTATTTTGGAATCGAAGAAACGATATGTTGGAATGAGCTATGAAAGTATTGATGATGTGAAAGGTGTCTTCGATGCCAAGGGAATTGAAACGATCCGCAGGGATTCATGTCCGCTTGTTTCAAATGTACTCTTTTTTCGTTAAAATGAATGAAAAGTGGTTTTCTTTCCAATTTCGAATAAATACCGGTAATAAGTGAAAAAAAATCCATATATAAATGAGCAAAGATTTGTAATTTTCTTTCTTTTTTTTGTTTTTATTTTTTCCGTTACTGATCTTCAACTCTTTTCTGGATGCACTCATAATCACTGGATTCTGTTTTAGATTTTAGAAAAAGCTTTGCGTTTACTTTTTGTTAATGATGTGAAGCGGATGGTACGCTATCTGGATATGCAACTTTCTAATCTATCGCAGCTCCCGTTATCTGATTTCATTTTTAGTCGTGAATATCGCAAATCGTACGCGGAATCTGCAGTTGTAGCATCGAAATTAATAGCCGAGTGAGAATTGAAGGGTTTTTTATACTCTGTATAGTTTTATGATATTTATTACTTAGATATGCTTAACATTTCTAAAATTTTTTTCTTTCAGGAAAAGAAAAACTGTATGCCCACGTTATGAGCCAGAAGTTGGTGAACGAGTTCCATATGTAATTGTTACCGGTGAACCAAATAGTACTTTGATTTCATGTGTTCGCGAACCTGACGAGTTTATTTGCGATCGCCGTTTAAAAATCAATTTCGAATATTACGTAAGACGTCAGGTGCTGCCTTCACTGCATCGAGCACTTGACTTCGTTCCATTAAGAATTGAATGGCATTGTCCCACAACTGTTGGTTGCTACAAGTTCGTTGTTTATTTAATTAAAATTTATTGTAGGTATAGAGGAGAGTGTTCATACTTGGTGTTGTCTGTCTAAATATTGATAAGTTGATACGAAAAGAGTGAACATGTTAATTTATTGCAATATTTTTTGAGATAAGTTATTTGTGTTCCAGATTAATCGGTTTAAATTTGTTTGATCGATTTGTTATGAGCACTGATAACACTTTATTTTTGATGAAAAAATTTAATTTCAGTTGTGGAGCATTAGGTGCACGATTGTGGTGCAGAGAATGCATCGTTGATCCGAAAGCTCTTCTACTATCAGTATGTAATTATTATCGGGAAAGGCGCCTTCTTGCTCATCTCAATGATAAATGTCGTAAATGTTTATGTAAGTTACAATTTTCAGATCAAGAGTTCCATGTAATGTTCACCGTTTTCTTTCAGTTTTAATCATGACCTCTAAAAAGCAAATCTTTATCTATATAAATTAGGTCAGAATTCATCGAATTTTTAATGATATGGAGTGTATTCAACATTATGTAAGCTATTGGATGCCACCCCATTTCTTATGGCCAATATTTTCAAGTTGAGATGTGATATGGAAGTGTGACTGGGATTATATTTTTAAACTTTCTGTTGTTACCTTGAATTAAATCGTAGCTTTTCCAGCATTGTTGGTTTGATTTCTCAATCGTTTTTTGTGGATTTGAGTAAATATTTTTTTTTTTTGCAGCATTACGATCAATCAATATCGATTATAACAAATGTATCAATATGGCATGCATCGTCAAGCAAAAACGAATTCTTTTAGATCGTTCAATGGCCGAACTTGCAGTGGAAAAATCATTGTTTAACAAGCGATAAATCTTTCCAGCAGACTTATTAGAAACTTTTGATTTAGTTTTACTGAATTTATCAAAGAATGTTATTCAGGAAGTATTGTTCCTCGCATTTGTTTCCTGATAGTACCTTCTACAATGTGATATTTTTATTGGCACTTTTGGTGGTACCATTTGGTTTTTACCAAGATTATCAGTAAAATCACTTGAAAAGAATTACTATGAAAAGTTTTTGCTTGCTTACATTAATGACCAATTATCGAGTTATGTAGGTAGTTGAAAAAACTGCAAAATGTTAAATCCTTGCTTCAAAAATGATTTATAGATGTGTATTAGAAAAATCCTACCAATCTATCTGCTTAAATGATTGTTGATATAATATATATATATATATATATATATAATTGCATCATAACCGTCCGCTGGATATATTTTTATTGGATTTTTTTTTTAAAAAGGACTATTTATGTTTATTGCTTGTGCTGATATGATTAGATCAAAGATTGCTTGTTTATAGCACAATACAACATTCGATTTGTTTATTTTTGCAATCATATTTCATGAAAATACTTTCATATGTAAGTTGTATTGTAATTTATTGGCACTCAAAATTTTGCGTGTTTATTTTTTTTCTAATTTTTTGCTTAAAATTTTAAGCATAACTAAAAAATTAGAAAGAAGAGAATTGATAGAGAATACATCAGAGAATTGATATGTCTTTGCCTCTTTGAAAGAAAATGATAACTAGGATAATATTAAAGTAATGTGATAGTTTAAATTTGTACAACCGATGTTATTTACTGATACTGACTAGTTATGGTTTGTACTATCCTTATGAGAAACAGACAAAGCTTCAAGAGAAATTGCAGTCATCTCGAAGAAGTACTTGGGAGTTTTTAATCAAAAAAAAAAAGTCTATTGAGAATACAATGAAAGTGACCAGAAACAATGCGCCTTCAAGAAAGACTTCATGATATATAGCCATGAGGAAACTGTTAGAAATGATATTTGGAGAAGGATTCAATGGAACATTTCAAAAATTATTGCTTGAAAAAGATTCCAAAATATTCTGTTGATAAGGTTTTGAAAGAGAAAAAAGCTATCGAGATTATTCCAGTAAATTTCAAATTGAAGAACAGTAGTTATCGTATGAAGACTGTAGAGATAAATTCAGAAGATTAGTTCTAACCTGATTAGCTTAATCCTGTATGTATATATCCAACGCTGGTCTGGTACCTTCGTTGATCAGTTATACATGAAGCAAATTAATCATCAAATAATCCGCAGGAAATTATCTGTTAGGTTTTAAATTACAATTATAATTTATTCTCAATAATGAATTCAATTTAAAATTTGCAGTTAAAGTTAAGTTTTGAAGTTTTATAACTTTACAGTTTAAATATTTATTTTCCCAATTGTTATAGCATGTATTTGTCTTTTTTTTCTCGCATTTCATTTCCTGAAACACACAACAAATAAATTCAAGATTAAGAAATAATTTCATCTTTCCACCTATCATTCTGATATCGATTAAATGAATATCATTATTCTCTCTTTCTCTTTCTCTGTATCATTTTGATAAAAAAAAAAAATTTTTTTTTTAAAAAAAAAGATCTCATGCAAATGATGTTTGTGATATTTAAAAATTTGAAGCATCGGTTATAATTATGAAACATTTAAAACATTTCAATTTCGGTTTTTTTTTCCGGAATTATTATTCTGTTCCATTTAACAGAATAATAAATTCATTTACGTAAAAGTATTTTAAAGAAATTAGAGCTTATCAATCCGGTACACAAGTCAATTTAATCTCAAATCACCTACTCAGAAAGAATAAATGATCCGGCAAAAGATTGGTTAATTCAATTCCTCAAAAGTTTTACCCTTTACCCAGATTTATCAGTGGATGCTAACATTCATTTGGAAAGGTGAAAAATGAGTTCTACCGGTATGAGCAATTAATTATCTGAGATCTACTGCCCAGATTATCTGAAAAAAAAAAAAGAAAAGAAAGGCGCGAAATTAATATATGATAATAATATAGAACGAATAATTTTGTCATATCATTCTTTGCTAATGTTTGGAGAACTTTTCTTTCTAACAATTAATTTGTCAACATTTTCGTCCATCGATAATGTACCGTGAATTTTAGGAGTGGACAAGCTGATGACCAATAATTACACAGGTAGCTGAGGGATATCCTAAAATGGCAAATTATATTTTAGTCTCCTAGTGGATCATAAGATTTTGAGGATAAATGATATAGGAGAGAAATGATATTAGATTTTGGAATGAATATTATAGGATAGGAATGATTCCAGAACTATCGGAAGGACGATAAAGCGGGATTCTAATTCCAATTATAATTTCTGTTTGCTAATTTTTGTACCTTTTTTTTTAGCTATTTTTTTTTGGTGTATTGTAAAATTTGGAAATGGAAATTGAGTTACGGAGACAAGCTTTAGCTTGTGTTGAGAAGAATATAACGGAGGTACAAGTGGTTATTGTTGTTCTTACCCGTGAACTTGCCTTCAAGGTATGCTAATTTCCCTCGTTTCGATCCATCTAATTCTTCGCTTAATTTCAGCTCTCCAATTCTATTCCACTTCGAATTTCAGATCTTCTATCTAATTCTTTTAATTTTAACCCTTGGATCAAATTTTTTCCAATCTTAGGTCACCAATTCAAAATTTTTCTAATTCCACGTCTTTCTTCTAATCCTTCAAATTTCAGATCTCCCATTTCATTCAAATTTTTCTAATTTCAGGTTTTCGATCCAATTCATCGTCTAATTTCAAGCTTTACATTTAATTTCTCCTGTAATTTTAGGTCTTAATCTAATTCTTAGAATTTCAGACTTCTGATCCAATTCTTCCTCTAATCCTAAATTTCCGATCTTATTCTTCTAATTTCAGATCTATTGAAGGAAGATGCAATTTCATGAATCAATAGATCTTTTTTTCTTATTCCTAAAGATTCTTATTTTATTTTGTCAATTAAAAAAAAAAGCACTAAATTGTTGATTGTCACTTTACAATTGGAAGTTTACCTATCCATTAATCAAATCAATGAAATTTATATTTCAATAAATTAAAATAAGAATTTATCCAACTTCAAATTCAACAAATTTCTGAAAATTACCAAAGTACAAATTTGAAGATAGCACGACAATTGAATGAAGATGCAGGAGAGATAAGATGTCTCCCGTGTGTCAACGATCGACAATTTGAATTACAATTGAACGAAATGAGGAAACAACACTTTGCAATCGTTGTTGGTACATTAGGAAGGATTGATTTATTCCTTTACCGGAATGTATTAAGTTAAACATTTTCTTTTTTTCTTTTTTTTNTTTTTTTTTTTTTTTTTTGCAGATTTAAGCATAACGATTAATTTATTTAAAAAACGAACTTCTTACCTAATGCATTCTTAAATTATTCGAAATTTTTCCTTGTATTAAATTATAATTTTTATCAATTCAATAAATTCAATGATTTTCATTTTTCTTTTTAAATTTTATTTTCGAATTACTTTTAAATGTTTTGTTCTTTGTTGTACTACCGTACTATTTTAGCTACATCCATTTAGGATAGATTTATTTATTAA